AAGAAGCAGAAGACAGCCAGTTCCACTGTGGGCCTGATCCGGCCCCCGGGCCGCATGTTTGACACCCCTGCTTTGGAGGGTGGACTCTATGGCATTGGATCCACTGAGGCCCCTTCCCAGGCTCCACCCCCACATCTGCAGGAATTTCCCAACCTGGATCTGGCCACCCTACCCTCACCCCCCAATCTCCTGCCGGTAGCTAAGAGGTACCTGGTAACCCTACAAAGAAGGGGCAGTGGGAAGCAAAAGAAAAGTTGCTATGCAGTCAATGACTGCAAAAAGTTTTGAAATACTATACTTGTTTTCTTGGTGCACAAAGAGGGGAAGGGAGGACAGACGGGGGTGCCTAGTCCCATGGCTCAAAACTCCCCAGTTATACCATCGACTTGGCCTTCCCTGATGGACAAAAGGCTGGATGTGAATTGGAAATACACACTGATGTCTTTGTTGTTGTTGTTCAGTCGCACAGTCGGGTCCGACTCTTCGCGACCCCATGGACCAGATCTCGCCAGGCCTTCCTGTCTTCCGCTGTCCTCTGAAGTTGGCTCAATTTCATGTTTGTTGCATCTGACACTGTCTAACCATCTCATCCTTTGCCGTCCCCGTCTTCTTTGACCTTCAATCTTTCCCAGCATCAGGGTCTTCTCCAGTGAGTGCTCCCTTCTCATTGGGTGGCCAAAGTATTTAAGTTCAGTTTCATTATCTGGCCTTCCAGGGAACAGTCAGGGTTGATTTCTTTTAGGATTGACTGATTTGATCTCCTTGCAGTCCAAGGGACTCTCAAGAGTCTTCTCCAGCACCATAGTTCAAAAGAATCTATTCTTCGGCGCTTGGCCTTCCTTATGTCTTTAAATGAATGAAAAAGCACCACGGTGGTGTCTCAGTCTTCCGAGTCTAAACCACACAGTCAGGGTGTTTTTGTTATTTTTTCAGCCCCAGGAAGGATTGCGTGCAGAACTGCAGATTGTGGCAGATGCTGTTCGTACAATGAGTCTGCTGCGGAATATTTCAAATAGGGTTGCCAGCTGTGGGTTGGGAAATACCTGGAGATTTGAGGGGGGTGGAACCTGGGGATGGCAAGGTTTGGGGAGGGGCCTCAGCACAGTACAATGCCAGAGAGTCCACCTTTCCAAAGCAAACATTTTCTCCAGGGGCGCTGATCTTTATCATCTGGAGATCAGTTCTAATAGTGGGAGATCTCCAGGCTCCACCTGGAGGCTGGCAACCCTCATTTCAAAGCAGCCTTTTCAGTCTGGGCCTAGTGTTGTTTTCGGTAGGCTTGCCAAGTCCCCCCAGGGGGCGTTCCCTGCCGCCGCCGGATCGGGCCCCAGGGGGAACTCCACCCCGACGTGCACGTCACCAGGAAGTGACGCGACCACGCCGGGCACGCTGGGGGCATGGCCACAGTCATCCAAGGGAAAACTCTATGGTTTTCCCTCGGATGGTCATGGCCCCGCCCCCAGTGTGCCCTGCACGGTCACGTCACTTCCTGATGACGTGGATGTGGCGCTTGCACGCTTTGCGCGTGCGTGCTCCTGGAACGGCACGGGAGTTCCCCGCTTCAGGAGAAGGGGGGACTTGGCAACCCTAGTTTTTGGCCCTGTGGGTTGCTCTACAGCAAGGGCCTTGACTCACCCTCTTAAATCCCCCCTCCGGCTCTTTGCGCAATAACATACACCCTGTGGTTTTCCTGAGAGGTTCTGCAAAACAATTAGTGCAGCTCTTCCCAGGAAACAAAATGTGCAAACCACAAAGTCCTTAGACCACAATCCAAAGCCAACATGTCGCGATTTACTACTTGCCTTGTTGATCTCAATAAGACTGAGAAGTGACCAGTCTTCTCTGGATTGGGGGCCTGAATAATGTTCCTGGCATTCTTCAAAATGGCTTCCATGCTCCGAAAGCTTTCCCCCCCTCCCCCGTTTTGAGTGTGGCTGCGGCATGGGGAGGGACCAGGTAAAGCAAGTGACTTTCCCATTGATGTTTTGCAAAACAAACGGACCTATAAAGTACGATGTGTGCAGAAAAGAGCATAAGGAATTATACCAAGTGTAGAGTGGTAGAGGGCTGACTCCTGGTATAAAGCTCCAGCACTTTTGTCTGTCAGCACTGCTCTTTGCTAAAGGGACAATTTGGCTGAGGACACTTTTGACTTGAACTGAACAATCATTGAAAGGCACTTTCTGGACGAGAAATTATCAGTGAAATATCATTTGGCATCTGATTGGATCTTGGGAAGCCTTGTTTATACTTTTAGTCTATGCCTAGTAATTTCACTTTTTTTAATAGTTTATTTATCATTTTTCATTACAAACAAAAAACAAAAGAAAAATATACATAGTATATAAAAATTACTTTTTTGGAGTTTACATTAAACACGTTTCTCAATCCATTTGTTAACTTTTTGCCATCTTTTTTGAAACACATTTTCATCTTTCCCTGACATTATCATATTTACTTTATCCATTTCCTTATTTCAAAGATTTTCATAATTAACTCTTCTCTCTTTGGTATTTTATCAGTTTTCCAACACTTCGCAACGAGGATTCTAGATATAGTAAGGATATATAATATACCTAGTAATTTCACTTTGGAACAATTCTTTTCTGGTCCATTTTGTATTAATGCTGTATAATTGTATTAGGGTTGCCAGGTCCCCCGGGTGAGGCGGAGAACCCCCGCTCGATGGGCCCCTTACCTACTGGCCCGGATCGGGCTGCCGGGGGGAACCCCACCCATAAAATGCCGGGCACGAGCATTCCATGACATCACAGCAGCATGGCCAATTGCTTCCTTCACAGACAAACAGGCTGACAGCTGACAGGAAGTTTTCCCCCTATTACCTAAAACCCTGTTGATTTATTTTGATATTTATACCCCAGTGTTGTGATGACATCACTTCCGGGTGACGTCATCGCGGCGCAAGAGAGAGAGAACTCCTGGAGACGGCCCTGGACTCCCCCGCTTTTAAACTGGTAAGACTTGGCAAGCCTAAATTGTATTGTATTATGGTATAACCCAATTTGTTCCTCATTGTGTTTGACCTCTGAAGAAGGCCTAGACAGGCCGAAACGCATCAGGTCAAGTCCATCAGCCCTCGTGTGTATGGTTTTGGAATTTTTATATAAGGTGTAATTGGGCCCCTATATGTTTTCTAATTCTTTACAAATAAATACATGCATTTTTATATATTTTATACAATAAGTTTTAATTGTTGGCCCTCCACTCTGTTTGACTTACCTCTTTAAGGTTCTTGATCCTGGGGTTGGAGATCTCCCAGAATTACAGCTAATTTCTGGACAACAGAGATCAGTTCCCCTGGAGAAAATGGATGCTCTGGAGGGTGGACTCTGTGGCATTGTATCCCAATGAGGCTCCTCCCCCTCTAAACCCCTCCCCCCAAGACTGCACCCCTAAATCCCCAGGAATTTCCCAACCTAGAGCTGGCAACCCTGAATGGTAACATTTGTCTAATATAGCCACCCAAGCAGAAAACAACCACACAGAATTAGAGAGATTGAACTTGTTTTACTTTATATGAAATTTTGAAGCCCAGTGATAAGTTTTACAAGTCGTTGCACTGCTTGTGAGGCCTCTGTTGCCACCAGTTTCCCTTTTAGTAGTGAACATTCCATGATGTCACAGCAGCATGGCCAATTGCTTCCTTTACAGACAAACAGGCTGACAGCTGACAGGCAGTTTCCTCCCTATTACCTAAAACCCTGTTGATTTATTTTGATATTTATACCCCAGTGAAAACCCCCGGTGGCTTACAGCTTCAGTTTCTCCTTCATTTTATCCTTACAACAACACAACAGCCCTGTGAGATAGGTTAGGCTGAGAGTTTGTGACTGGCCCAAGGTCACCCACCGAGCTTCCATGGCAGAGTAGGGATTCGAACCTAGGGCTGCAGTCAGATGTTCCATTTGATGCGGAGGGGAAGCAATCCTATTCCCTCCAGTGGAAATTGACATAGAGTCACAGGATCACACATCCCTTGGCGCTGTGGCCTCGGCCCATCCCTGCCTGATCAGACTTGCTATCAGGAAGCATTCTTATTTCCTCTGGTGGAATTCAAAACACAGTCGCGCAACCACACATCCCATTTGCTATGAGCTCAGCCCATCACTGCACGATCAGACAGCATGTTCAGGTGCGTGGTTTTTATTTATTTATGTCTTTTGTTTCCCATGCACATAAATAAGGAATCGAACCCCCGCGTGATTCCCTCCTATTCCCTCCGGTGGAAATTGACATAGAGTCACACAATCACACTTCCCTTTGTGCTGTGGCCTCAGCCTGTCCCTGCTTGATCAGATTGACAGTTAAGAAGCGTTCCTCTTTCCTCCAGTGGAATTTGAAATGCAGTCACGCAACTACACATCCCATTTCGTTGCAGGCTCAGCCCGTCACGGCACAATCAGACGGCACATTAGGGCGAGTGTTTTTCATTTATTTATTTTTGCCTTTTGTTTCACATGTGCATAAATGAGGAATCGAACTCCCACATGGAGAGTTCTCCATGGATGATGCGGTTATGCGCATACTGCTAAAGGAGCAAAAAAAATCGTGCCAAGTCAGGATGGAATGGGCAGACCATCCCGATGGCTTGAGAGTGTGCTTGCATGATCAGACAGTGGAAGGTCTGTCCGTGGCCCGTCAGAACCAGTTAAGACAGGACTTTCCCCAGTGTCTTTTAACGCCACTTCCATGGCAAGCAGCACGGGATGCCGACGACTGCGGGACCTTTCCTAGATGTTGCTGTCTGATCATGCCCTTTAGATCTTCCAGGCATTCGCAGCTGAGTCGGATCTAAAGGCACGTCTGACCTTAGCCTAGGTCTCTCCGTTCCTAATCTGACACTCTAACCGCCACACCACAGCAGGAAATGAACAGAAGATAAACTAAACAAAGGGAAATGGATTGCCTAAGCATACCAGCAGTAAATAAACGTTTTCAGACCCACTTAAAATCTGAACGGTTAGACACGGTTAGGTGTTCACAGGCAGGTGTCCTCCTCTCAGCTAACAGGTAAAGGGAAAGCCATCTGATGAAGCCAGAATTGTTGCAAAGGAATTCTCTTTTATGGCTCTGAGCATGTCCTAAGGTTTCTCTTTTCTTGTCCATTGGGAGGAAGTGCAGAGGCAGTAAAGTTACATTGGCAAAACTGTACTCAGAAACTGACGACTCTACTTGATCCCCCTGTCCTTTGCTTTTGTACCATTACCCCGCATCTACGTCAGTCGTGCTGTGGATGACCCTTGTCTACTCCACTGCATCTTTGAAAGTGTGTGTGGGGGGGGGTTATTTCTGTTTGACTTCTGAATAGTCCACAAACTCCTCTGGGGGTGTTGGCTCTTTGGCTTTCAGCTTGGAGAACTCCAGGGTTGCATAGTATAGCTCTGGCTCAGGAATGCTTGCACTGGGAACTCGGAGGCTGGACGTACGAATCCTCCCTCTGGCTGCATTGGATTGGTCACTAGGTGATTTTTTACCCTGGAAGAAAATGGGGGCAATGGTTAGAGGAGGAGGAGGAGGAGATTGGATTTATACCCTGCCCTTCACTACCCAAAGGAGTCTCAGAGTGGCTTACAATCTCCTTTCCCCTCCTCTCCCCACAACAGACACCCTGTGAAGTAGGTGGGGCTAAGAGAACTCTTTGAGAACTGCTCTTGAGAGAACAGCTCTGAAATAACTTGTGGCTGACCTAAGGTCACTCCAGCAGCTGCATGTGGAGGAGTGGGGACTCACACCCAGTTCTTCCAGATTAAAGTCTGTGCTTTTAACCACTACACCAAACTATTCCCCCATTGCCACCCATTTCTCAGTGAATTCCCATCAAGGCCCTGTTAATCCACCAGAATTTTGAATGGAATGCCACTTTGTACTCATGCTACATGCATCCTATAGGTGGGACAATTAAGATACACTTTGGGGATTTAGCCACAGAGACAGGCTTGGGTAGTTTCCCATTGCTGCTGCATCTAACAATATGACCCCCCAAAAGCTGGACTTCCACAAGGCAGGTTTCCCCACAGTTTCTCCATTCCAGTCCACCGCCAATGGCTACCCCCTTCCCCTGGGCCACTGAATTTCCACCTTTCCTTTAAACAAAAATAAGTGTTCAGCCCTTTTCATTGCAGAGATAAGCCTTTCCCCTTATGTCTCCACAACAAAAGGAGCTAGAGATTTGCTTTTTAAAAATGAAAGCTGGGAATGGACAAACACTTGCCAAGGTTGCTTTAGGCTGATACTGGACTGAGCAGGGGGGTGGACTAGATTGTCTCTATGGCAACTTCCAACTCTGTGATTCCATGATTCTATGAATTCAGAGGTTCTGGTACACAGATTGTTATAACATTATATCAGTACTCGGAATAAGGCCCATTGAGGAAATAAATACAACAAGATCTAGAAAGTGGCTCTGGGAGAGTGCCCCAGCCTTGGGCACTCAGTGTCAATTTGGTGTGGTGACCTCAGCAGGGTATAATGACACAGAGGCCACCATTTTCTCCAGAGGAACTGATCTCTGCTACCTGAAGAGCAGTTGTAATTTTGAGTGATCTCCAGCCCTCACCTGGATATTGGCAACAATTGTTACCCAGGAGGAAATGGCTGGTTTCGAAAGTGGAGTCTATGTCACTCTACCTATCTGAGGTCCAACCCCTCTTCAAACCCTACCCTCTTCAGGCTCCACCCCTCAAATCCCCAGGAATTTCCCAACCTGGAGTTCGCAACTCCATCTCCTTCCCAGCTAACCATCAACCTACCGTTATCTGCCCCTCTGACTTCAGCTGACTTCTGCCCTCCCTCCTGGAGAGCAGTTATAATTCTGAGTGATCTCCAGCCCTCACCTGGAGACTGGCAACAATGGTTCCCCAGGAGTCTTTCTCTGCAATGGGGACCAAAGCAATTTACATCATTCTCCTCTACCCCTTTTGACGTGCACAACAACCCTGTGAGGTAGGTTAGGCTGAAAGTCTGTGACTGGTCCAAA